GCAGCCACCCCTCCCCCAGCTGCCCCGCCCCCACTCCCCAGCAGTCAGCCCCCACTGATGCTGGAGATGTAACTCCCAGGCCCTGGCAGGCAGGGGACTTTGCTGGAGTGTACCCACGCCCTGAAGCCTTTGGCCACCTCCACCAGCCGCAGAGGTGGCTCCCTCCACCCAGGGGGCCTTGCAGCGCTCCATGGCTTCTCCCAGCACGTTCACCGACTGGGGTTCTAAGGGCAGGCAGTCCGGGGTGGTGTGATCCCAGAAGCAGACAGAGTCCAGGGGCTGGCGTGCAGAACTCCCCCTTGGGGGGCATCTGTTGGACCTCCGGCCCTTTGGGTGATGCAGACATCACAAGGCATACAGATGACTCTAAATTTTTAATAACTCCCCTGAGAGCCCTTTTCCAACAGCGAGCCAACCGCCATTGACCCCGGGACCAGCTGGCCCAGAAAGACCCAGCTACAAACGCGATGTGGCAAAGGGAAGTCAAGAGCGTGTCTGGAACCTTCCCCGCCGGAGCGCTTCTGTCCACACACGCTCAGCCACACGCCTCCTCCTCTTCAGCGCATACTCACCCCTCCCTCCAGAGTCTCCATGGAGGCTCTCACACCCCACTGGGGCACCTCTGCACCCCTGCACGAGAATCGGGGCGGTGCACCGGCGGGGGCCTGGGGCGCTGCCACCTCGGCCGCAGCGACCCTCGGCTTCCCACTGATCCTCCGGTGTTAATCAAACCCAGTCCAGAATGAAACTACAGCTTGCTTCTTGTTCTGGTATGAAATGTGCAAAGCACAGACCATATCATTAACATAAAACTTCCAGAAATAAGGCCACTTTCCAGACAGACTGTATTAATTGCACCAAGCCTCCCCAGCGAGGGTGGTCTAATCCACGGCGTCCCATTGGACGGCTCCGGTTATAAAAACCAACACAAAATGCACACTGGGATATAATTGAAGGAGGAGAAAACGATAGAGTCTACTGTTAAACCCTACTATTTACTTACAGGTATTCTTTTATCTTTATTGTCCCTTTAACCCAAGCCAAGAAACCCCAGACTAGTTAAATAACACAGCAAGCACAATTTCTGTAGAAAAGTAAATTGAATTTAACTTTACAGGATTGCCCAGTGATTTCAGCAGATACTAATGACAGCAGCTGACTCCTTCTATTAAATCCAAACATTTCCACTTCCCCGAGCTGGGGACCGGTGTGTTCTTGCACGAGACCTTGAACGTCACCAAGCTCACGTATTAATCAATGTGGCTGCTGATCATTTGCGGGTTTGGGCTCTGCAGTCAAGTCTCCAGCTTCCTTTCCTACCTCCCAAGGCTGGAAAGTGATCTGAGCCACCCGAGAGGTTAGATGCCTTTCAGAACGGGCACTCAGGAGCCAGCCTGAAGCGACAGTCCACACAGTAGTGACACGGATGGCGTGATGTTCTTGAAACCCATTCTGCTCACACACGAACCGTGATGTCTACAGGGCTCAGCCCTGCGTGCTTTTCTCAGCCCTGGTGTGTGACCTCATTCGGTCCTCAGAACAACCCTTCAAAACATGCACTAGCATTACCCCCGTTATCAGTGGGGAGACTGAGGAAGAGGGAGGGAAATTACTTCTCCAAGGTCACACAGTCATACAGGACAAAGCAGCCTTCACCCCAGAGTCTGATACACTCTGATGCCTGCCTCTGAATCCTAGAAGCCTCAGGACGGGGAAGTGTTCAGGCCAAAGCCCAGTGGTTTTCAAACTTCTCCAAACAGCTCACCCTGCCCTGGGGACCCTAGCCAAGCCCCATGTCCGGTCATCCCTAGTAACTCCATAATCAAAACAGACCAACACAATTTTTTAATGTTACATATATATATCACAGATACATATGCATGTGTGTGTTTTTGTAGAAGGGGAAACAGACCCAGAGGTGGGAGAAGGACTTGGTCAAGGTCACCAGCCAGGTACACTAAGGGCCAGGACCACAGCCCAAGCCTCCGGACTCCATGGGTAGCCGATGAAGTCACTTTCTAGGAAGGGCCTGAACTCAGCTGCCCATTCTTTCGGCCGAGTCGAAAAGCAATGGGTGAGCAGGGGTCAGCAGTCCCTTCTCCCACCTTGACCACGAGGAGGAGGTCTGGGTCAGGGTCCCGGAAGGTGGGGCTATTTGGGGTGCTACCAGCCCGAGAAGCACGCATACCTGTGTGGTGTTCTCCCCCACAAACTCTCACCCTTCTATAAATAACCGTGAATGCGTTGTGAGCATGCAATTAACCCGTGCAAAACGCCGTCACACCGGGGTTTTCCGTGTTAATTTGAAGAGATGGGTTCAGTGCGTCCTGATCCAAAAAGGGTCAAGACAAAGTGAGGACGAGGCCCTTCCCCACCTGCACGGAGCCTGCTTCTTCCTACCGGGTAACTGGCAATGTAACAACTCCACCCCAACTACTACTTAAACAGGAACCAAACACACTTAAGCAGACAGCCCGGCGCTGGGGTCAGAAGCTGCAAGGGACAAACATCACTGGACTAGGATGTTTTCAGGTTGAACTTGGTCGGACAATATGGTGGCATGACCTGGCGCTGGCTGATTAATGGGGACCCAGTGATGAAAGGGGGTAGTGCTAAGAATCAGGGTGGAGCGCCAGAGGCTGAGAGCAAGCCCCCGAAAAAATCAGGAGGAGAGGTCCCAGGGACCCCAGGCACAGACACACACCGCCAACAAGTATGGGGACTGCTCCCGGGCTCTGGGTCCTCGTAGCATCAAGTTATAAAACCCAAGAAGGCACCCTGGCCCATTTGGCTCAACGGTTAGAGCATCAGCCCAAAGGGTCGCAAGTTCGATTCCAGGCCCTGGCCAGGGTCATGTGGGAGGCAACCAAAAGATGTGTCTCTCTCACACTGATGTTTCTCTCTCTCTCTCTCTCTCTCCCTCCCTCTCTCCTTCCCTTCCTTCCACTCTATCTAAAAACCAATGGCAAAATATCCTCGGGTGAGCATTAACAAAACAAAACAACAAAAAATCAAGAAGGCCTCCAAAACGAGGAGCCAATGCCAAAGATGAAACAGGTGCTGGATGACCGCCCCAGGATCAAATCCCACCTCTGCTCCTCCTTCCCCTCCGAAGGGTCCTCCTAACGTACAGGTCCCCTGCCCACTCCTCCCCCCAGACTGCAAGCTGCCTGAGGGCAGGGCCCCATGCACCTGACTCTGCCTTGGTTGCCGTGCATGCAAACTAGGTGCCCAAGAAATGGCTCCTGGTGGACGGATGGATGAGTGAATGGATGGACGCCTGAGAGCCAGGACGCCTCAGTGCCTCTGAGCCTCATTCTCTCATCTGCAAAGTAGGGAGTGAACCTACCTCCTAAGGTCGCTGTGAGGATTAAACTCAAGAATGCACACAGAATGCCAAGCACAAGGCAGCGGACAGCAGGCCCTCAATACACGGTCCCTAAAAGGAAGCAGGTGGCACTGTGGCTGAGAGTGGGTGTGTGAGGAACGTCCCCTGGACGGAGGCCGAGGCATGTGGCTTAGCTGTAAGAGGGTGGCCTTGCCAGGAGACATCACGATGACAAATTCTAGGTCCCTAACCTTGGCCCAGCCACTCAGCCTGCCCGAGCCTTGATGTCGCCATCTGTAAAATGGGGATGGAACTGCTCCCACACGGCACAGTGGCTTCTAGAAGACCCAGAGCCAGCAGAGGGTTAAGCAAAGCCCCGAGCGCCGGGGATATCGTGTTTCTGCACCGCAGAACTTGACCGAGTCCAGTCACAAACACTGGGGCTGATCTTCGATAGCTCGGCCCCCCTGAGTGGCTGCAGGGCTGCAGCACTAACTACAGGAAGCCAGGAGGGCAGGGCAGGCACCCACTGCTCAGCGAGCAGGGATCACAGCACAGACCTGCGGCGCCGGGACAGGAGCCCCCGTCCCCCTGGACACCGGGCCGACCTGGCTGCTGTGTGACCCCCTCCCAGGCGATGTCATCTTGGCCTTGTGCATTCAAGGCACAAGCCCGGTACCTATGACGACACCGTCTGTCACAGTGGGATGCTAAAGGTCGCAGGCTACCCCACCAGCAGCAAGACCATGGAGCTGGGGCTGCCTGTGACCCCCTACGGAGCTGTGGCCACAACAGGGCCCTCCTTTGGGACTGTTTCCACTAAAAGCAAACCCTGCCCAGTAAAATCCATTCTCCTTTCACCGTCCAAGTCGGCATCCTGGCTGCTGCGGCCTCTTCACACCAAGACCCTGAGCAGGAGAGGCCCTGCCCGCCAATTCCAGGCGCCCCAGGCCAGAGAAGGAATTGGGGTTTTTCTGGGGACAGAGTGGGGGGAGGCAACGGTGGCCAAGTTGAGTCATTCACTGCCCATGTGTGCCCACCTGTAAAACGGGCAGTCACCTCAACTGAAAGCCAGGCACACAGTAGGTGCTCAGCCCCTCAGGTGAACACAGAGCTCCGCCCCAGCCCCCCAACACACCCCACAAGGCTTCGTCGTCCCCGAAAGGCTCCTTTAGAGTGCTTTTCTTCCTCAGTCAATGGGCAACACATTCTCGCAGAGAGACGCGTTTTGGACGCTCGGCAGTGTACACAGACAGCAACCACGGAATCTTCTCCGGGTCATGCCTGGGGGCGGGGCAGTGGCTGGGGCGGGGGAGGGGTGGCAGTGGCGAGGGCAGAAGAAAACCTCAGATGTTAAGCGTTATCCAATTAAGCTTTAGCTAAACAGCCCAAAGAGATGAAATGTGGAGGCTGGGGGCTGCATTCTGGGAGACTCTCAGAATGGGTGAAGGCATGGGGGACCTCCTGACCCATGGGACCAGGGCACTGATGCTCAGTTCTGTCGGCATTTTTCACCACTTCCCCCCCCAAAAAAATGCCTTTGGGGGCAGGGGCTGCACGGCCCCCCTGGGTTCCCACCTGGCCCCAGCCCACCTGGGAGAGGCAGCCGCTAGCTCTGCCGGGGCGCACCCCGCCCCCCCGGGAGCCCGCCCCCCACCGCGGCGTCTGTTACCTGACAACTGACACTGACATCCAAAAGGAGCCTCCGTGTGACCCTCACCCTGAGCGCCGTCGCCCGAGACGGGGCGCGCGCTGCAGCACGGCAGGGGGAAGCAGGGCGGCAGAGCGCCCAGGGCGCGCAGAGGTGAGGTGATGACGGATGTGTGAGGGTGGGAGGAGGAGGCAGCTATGGGGGCCATCGCGGGCAGCTGGGCAGGCCTGCACGGCCCTGGAGAAAAAACAATAGAAAAGACTGGTCAGTCGGGCCCTGGACTGTACACGGGGCTCAGGGTGCGGAACAGGGGCCCGGGGCAGAGGGCTGCAGGCCGCCCGTCCAGGGTGCCAGGCCCTGCAGGAAGACCACTGGGGCACAGGCAAGGGCCTGAGGGATGCCGCTTCCACAGCTGCCAGGCTGGGCTGTCCTGGGGCCAGACTCCCATCCCTGGGGCCTAATGCAGGGAGCTGTCAGGGTACCCACTCCCAGGTAGGCCCCCCCAGGAGGGGGCTTCTGAGGTGTTTCGGAGCAGGCTCCATTTGGGCATCTGTTCCCAAAAATCCGGACCACCCCCCTCTGGGAAACCCCAGGCCACCACTGTTTGCTCTATCAGGATGGGCTGTTTGCATAGGCCTGGGGACCTCCAGTCCACCTCGGAGTGCCAGGGCACTGGTTGGTTAACCTCCAGCCTGGCGAACGGCCAGCTGGTGCCTCTCTCCGGCCGCGGTCCTCCTCAGCAACCCAAGGCCTTTCAGAAGGCTTTGAATGCCCCCCAACCTCCAAGAAAACCCTGGCACTGCCCAGTGCCCCTCCTAATGCCTCCTGGGTCTGACGGCCACGATGCAGGGCCAGGGCTCAGCTCCCCGGCATGGCCTGCATTTGATTTGGCCGTTTATCTTAAATGGCTAAGAGACCACCAGGGCAAAACATTTGTGTGAAGCCCTTGCCAAAACCACAAGTGAAGAAGCCCAAATTCCCTGGGTAAATAATTGAGCCGGGAAGCATCAGAAAGACAAAAAGAAAACATCAACAAGAGGACAGGCAGCTGGGCCCTGGGCCGGCTCTGCCAGGGAGGCCACCCGATGCTGCTCACCACCCCACACAGGTCTGCAGGAGGCAACCTGCCCACTCCACGGCCCCATGCGGGATCCTCCAACCAGAAGAGCCACATGGCCCCGAAAACCCACTGTGAGCCAGGAGCCAGTGTTCACCTTGAGTGAGTTTCCCAACATGCCATGGGGCGGGGCTCCCAGCACCCATTGCACAGACCAGGAAACTGATGATGTGACCGCAGAAAGCTGCACACACCAGCAGTCAGCCCCACCAAAACCCTGGCTGCCTGGCTCCAGAACCGAGGTTCTTTGCCTGTTACCCAGGATTGGGGGCATCAGGGCATTTGAGAAGACATGCCAATGTCCTGCCAGGAGGCCAAAACTAACACCAACCCCTTGGGCTCCTCTGGGCCAAGGAAGACCTCCTACAGGGCTAGGACCAGGGCTCGAGATGTTTCTGAGCCCAAAGCCCAGGAAGGGCGTGGCCAAGGGCCCCATAAGCAGTTCCAGCCACAGATGCTGAGCAGAAGGCAAGGCCCCAGAATGAAGGCAGGCCCCAAGGAAGGTCAACACTTGAGACCAGTGTTACCTGCCTCCTTAACTGAACATCCTGGACACTGCACGTCTGACCCTGTCCACTCTGGAGGCCTTGCCTACAGACCCCAAAAGGCTCTTGATCATCCATGACTGTGACAGCGGCTTTGTGCTGAACACCTATCACAACCAACCTGCTCGGCAGAGAAGAGCATCCCCATCCCACGGGGGGAGACTGAGGCTCAGGGAGGTTTGGAACTTGAACCCAGTTGTGTCTCCAAAGCCTGGATGTGTCCTGCTTCCCCCTGAGGCTGCAGCTGGGGTGGAGTGACCAGGGCGCCCCAGGATCCTGAAAGGGAGCGCTGTGGGGGATAAGGGGACCTGAGGGTCTGTGGGCTCAGTCAGGCCATCGGAGGTTGCAAAAGAGCAAATCTGGGTGGGCGCCCAGGTTCTGGGTGAAGCCACAACACAATCACCAGCATTTACCAGGGCTGAGAAAACCAACAGAGCCCCCAGGCCTGGTGACACTGTCCAAGCCAGAACTGAGCAGAACCTGTGTCCCCATGGCTGGAAGGAAAGACCACAGGGGAGGTCCAGCCACACCTTCTGGAAAGGTCAGGCTTAGGCCAGAGTCTGTAAAGGTAAAGTCATCCCAACTCAGGGAGGGGCAGGGAGCTAGGCTGCCCTGGGGGGGCTTCCACACCTCATTAGGAATTCTCACCTTGCTGAAGTCCACCTGCTCCAGAGTGGGCTCAGTGGAGACAGGGGAGGGGCCAGCAAGGGTGAGGCTTCCAGTCCTAAACTGCCTGCAGAGGACCCTCTGCTCGGGACGAGGTCCCCAGCTGGAGCATCTTCAGCCTGCCCCAAGGGGCAGCTCCAGAAATCCTCGCCTGGAGCGATGCCCAAGCCCAGGGTGCTGGGAGGGGCCACCTACTGTGTGCTGCATGTGAGGAAGAGTCCAGAACAGGCGAACCCAGAGACAGCCACAGATGAGGGGCCGGAGGAGTGGGCGCGGGAGGGCTCAGGGGCAGGGGTTTCTTTGGGAAGGATGAAAATGTCCTGGCGTTAGACAGTGGTGACAGCTGCCTGCCAGTGTGAATATACTCAAAACCACTGCGTGCACACCTTAAATGGTTAAAGCGGTGAATTTTATGTTCTAAGAATCTTGAGTTTTATTTTAAAGGCCAAGGTGAGGACTGTGTCTGGCCTCAGTGCCTGTCCCAGGCCACCTCCCAGCTCCTGCTCCTTCTCCAGGAGGGGGTGTCTGCCAGGGAACCCAGCACACGGGCCGGAGCACCTCAGACCCTGTGACCAGAGGTGCACACACAGGACACCCGGAGCTCAGACAGGCACAGCCTGGGAGCCAGAGGCTTGGGTTGCAAGGTCTCCTCTGCCGTTTCTGGCCGTGTGACCCAGGCCAGTCACGCTCTCTGAGCCCCCAGCACTCACTCAGTAACTGCTCACCATCATTCACTTCCCACTCTGGGACTCTTCCTAGCACCCCCCGAGAAAGGCACCCTAAGAAGCCCCGCAGGCCCCTCCTGCAGAAACCACTTTCCTTGGCGGTCTGGGGCCCCTCTGGACCGGGAAGGGACGCACGTGCGCCCGGTATGTGGCAGAGGGACGCCGAGACGCCATTCCAGCTCTACCGGGATCCAGGTGGCTTAAAAACAAGCCCCTGGCTGGCTGGCCTGCCTACGGGGGCAGTTCGCTTTCATCAGGGAGAGAGAAAGGATCGGCGCCGACGTACAGCATCTCATTACGCCCGCAGCCTCCCTCGGACCACAGGACCACGGCCCCGCCCCTCGCAGGTGAGGACACCGGGGCCAGGTGCCCGGACCACGCGGGGTCAGACTCTCACTGTGAGTGTGCATCCCTACAAAGAGGTGCCGCCAGAAAGCCCAAGCAGAAGACCCCCCAAAACGTTTCGGAAGCTCCAGACCGGGGTGTAAGGTAATTTTCGGTGCATCCATCCCGAGGGGGTCTGTTTCCATCCAGGAGGGCCCCACCTCCCCCCCGCCCGCTTCATGCCTCGCGCATGCGCACTTCCCCCGCAAACACGCACACACCCACCGACGTGTAGACACAAAAACCCGCCTGGCAAAGGCCCAGCCTGGTTTTGAGGGGAATGCGAGCCTTTCCCAAGGCTGAATCCTCGGGCGTCCCCTCCCACCGGGGAGGGTTGCAGACGCCCAGCCAGGAGAGGAGGTCTGGAATACACTGTGCAGATGTATATTTTCCCCCTACCGGTGCCTTTCAATTGATACATTTTTTAAAGCCAAGAACTCCTACTGTTAGTGCAAAAATGAGTCATAGATCCAGGAGGGCGACAGACAGACAGGGAGCCAGCGCCTGTGAGTGAGGGCCACTGGCAAGGAAACCTGACAATCCCCGCGCCCCCTCCCCCCATGCCAAGACATTAATTCTCACAAGTCGGAGAAAATTACTATGCATGAATGCAAAAAGCATGATCAGGAGTAATTAACATGGCTTCATATGCAAATTTTATTAATGCAGAAGTACAAAGTCATTATGCAAATGAAACTTACGTCAACTCTCTTGACAAATATTCATCGCCGAGGCTCAAGTTTCTCCCTCTTTATTTATTTATTTAATTTTTCCTCTCCACTCCCCCCCCCTTTTTTTTTTCCTGGGTTTTTATTTAGGGGCGCAGGTAGTGCTGGTGGCCGCTTTGGCAGCAGCAAGCCACAAGGACTGTTTGACAAGTTTGCAAAGTTGTTTTTCAACCAGAGAAATTTATTCTTGCATTGTTGATTTTTTTTTTGGGGGGGGGGCTGTTGGCAGGTACAAGACAGCTCATAGGAGAAGGGAAAAAATAAAAAAATAAAAAGCTCTGGGCAGCCGGCAGCCAATCAAAACGCCAGAGCCTGTAATGAGGGCGATTGATGGCTGTTTGGCTTTTACTGCGGGGTAATGAGGAGGGGGAAAAATATGAATATTCATGAGACTGTGCTCCTGCCTTTGATGATTAAAGAAATTTTTAATATTCAAATAAGCGCTTGCCAAGTGATTAACAAAGAACATGCACGCAGAAATATGGAAATGGGAGCCGGGAAAGATTTGAGAGTCGAGCAGACTGCAGGAAAGGCAGCCTCAAATTTCATAAACAAGATAGGCAGATAACCCAATTCGCACGCGGGCAAATAAAAACATTTCTTTCGGATCGCTTAAATATTTTGCCAGCTACTTTATCTTAAGGATGATAAAAATGCTATGTATTAAGGGGGTGGGGCAGGAAGAGAGGAGAGAGAGAGAAATCAGACGAAGTCAAAGGCATGGCTCACATTTAAGCATCATTATCCCGATTCCAGCCCACCTCCCCCCCACCTGACGGGAAATTGGGACTCTTTTTCCGGTTTGCTTGAGAGAGGAGAGAGAGGGAAGCCAGCTGGGTTTGAAAACCCAAGGCCGGCCTGTTTGGGGTGGGCACACTCAAAACATGTGGTCATTTGTTGCTTCTAGGGGGGATGGTGACCGCTAGAGGGAGAAGGGTGTGATTTGGGGGGTCCCCCATTTGAAGAGCTCAGCACATAAAGAAGGTGGTCGCAGGGGAAAAGGGGGCACGTGTCAAGAAGCTTCAGGGCTCGAACTTCGGCGAGAGGTCTGGCCTGGCCATCTCTGGGCCAA